ATCGCTTAGGAAATGACGCTCGCATGTTCAGCAAAACTTTGCGCGTGACTCACGACATTGCTAAAGCTGTACTGGGTACGTGAAATAAATCTTGAGTAACAACGACAGAACATGATGAACAAAACAACTTGAGTTTTTTAGCTAAAATAAAAACAGACCTAAAAACAACGAAACACAAACGATCAGCAGATTTCTTTATCATTTTCTGTTTTTTTTTATTATTATTATTATTTCAGAAATAACGGACTCGAAACTTGATAAGGAACAAAAGGTTTTAATGGCAAAATAGGTCAAAATAGACGGCAATGACTGATACAATTAAACAGATACAGTAATGATCGATTTATTTGAAAAAGTAGGACTTTTGTCAGGTTTTACCATGAAAATGTTGCTGATCTGTGGCCTAATTTAGCTGTTTCTTATGACTTCTATGGTAATAAGTGCCCGGATGAATGGTAAATAAAGTTGCGTGATTTTTGCTTGTTCGTGCTTTAATGTCTTCTGTAACAGCACAACAACTGAGGCATAATTCTCATAAGGGAAGAGCTCAAAATTATTTTCAGCAATAGAGCATTCTGTTTTGTTCCTTAAATTTTACATCCGTTGCAGAGCGATTGCTTTTGATTGGTTATTTTTCCTGACGAGAGTTGGTGTCAGTAAATCATAACACAGACTGCAATCCATCCATTTCGGTTGAGTGTCAGCCAAGGGAACAGAAAGCCTCTATCAGTTATCTTGTGTCAGCTAGGTCTGTTAAGAAGAAGGCGCAAGACAACGAAAAGGTGAGACAAATATAAGAAAATTAAACGAAATATCGTGAAGTCCTACGATAGCTTAGTCCTATGATCCCCTGCTGGGGCCTGTTCTCTTTGTTATGAATGACACCTAAAACAGGTCCGATCAGTACGAAAGATAAAATGAATCACAACCACGTTGACCCACGCCGCATGTTAAGACATTCAAAACATTTAATCTGTGATTGGTTCAAATCCTCCGGCTAATACTTCGTAACCAGCTAGTTTTGCCATTCAAATCTGGAAGACTTTTTCGATATGTAGGAAAAGGGACGGTAAGCAAGAAGCTCTGGACGAGCTCAGTTGTGTTTCAGGGTAGAGCTGGAGGATGATGGAGAAAATTTTACAAGTTTTGCGAAGAAGAAATAGCCGAACCTCTGCATAAAAAGATAGAAAGAACAACAAAAATACAACTCAAGGGATGATAAGTGCTATTTGAAGGGTATGTGCGAGACTAAATATCCCTTTTTAGCATGTTTTGTATTTTCCAAATCAGTGAATAGCAATTTTAGCGCGTTCTGATTGGCTCCTGTAACTCGCACTATCCTTGACTATTCATTGTTTTGCGACCCGAGCCAAGAAGGCGTCCCGTTTCGAGACATTTTCGGAAAGACGAAATTTGAGCGACAAATGAAGCATTCGTACAAACAAATACCAAGAAAGTGTCGACCTTTGGCTTGTCGGTGTTTACTGCTAGGTAGAAAATCATTCAGTTCATGCTGAATTTGAAACAAAATGGTAAAAATGCACTTGACAAAACCCCCGAAATATTTGTAAAGTGTAAACAAAGTTCCTACTAAGTGACGTTTTTAATTTACAAAAGATTACTTTTTTCATATTTATCCAACTGATTTTTGGTAAATACTAAGGCAACTATCCCCCTTAGGGTCGGTGAACAGCGCTAGAAATATATATCTCGACGCTTGGCATCTCGGTATATATTTCCACCACTTTTCACCTCCCCTTCGGGGGATAGTCGTATAATATAGGAACAGGCAAATCAAGACGGAAACTTAACATCGATCCAGGTACTAAGCATGTTTTAAAAGTGTGAATTATTTTGAATGATTGATAAAACAGCTATTGGGTTTAGCTTCCCTATGATCTGAAGACTAAATTAAGCCGATCATAGAAGGTGTTATTCACCTCGGCTTAATAACATGTACCCTGCTCGATCTGCATCATTCTTCATATCATAGCGTCCGGCCGTAACAAAAACAGAACTCATGGCATTACCTTTAAACCATCTTTTTCTTTCATGGTTTCCTGCAGAGTGAATATTAGATTCCACATTTTCTTGGATCCCACTGAACCAGGGCGGGAGGCTTTTTTAGGCCTCCTTCAATTAAAGTTGAAAAACTTCAAAACTGTTTGAGGGTATTCAGTGGATCGAAGGTACAATATTATATGATTTCCTCCAAAATAGGTCATGTCATCACACGTACGTTTCTCGCTGAAACCATCGTGAATAACTGAGTTATCGCCAATGGTAGCCCTTGACCTCAGTTCGCTTTAAAATAGTCACATGGAACGATACTTGCAAGCGGCCGTCATCAAAAGTTCACAGGTTACGAGGCGTACATGTTCACTGTAAAGTGAAGGTGCTTTCTTCCCAGCCCCATATATATGGTACCGCTGCTGTTTGCATCCTATAATTGTTGACGAAAATTTATTTCAAAGCTAGTGTTCCAGCTTCGATCAATGGCTGCGTGGCCAATAAACTTTACACAAGATACGATTTCCGTGACTGAATATCTACATAAACTGAATACAGAAGGTAACTAAGAATGACGGAAACCCGTATCTATAAAAGGTAGAACACTTAAATAGGCTACAACCGTGAAGTATTAAAAAATTGTTCTAATTCAACTGAACTATGTCAGTACAGATAACGCGTATTTCCTATTTTAACACAACAATTCCTCGCGAAGCCGAGGTTTCTAAATTTGTCGGACTGCGTTAACCGTAGATTCCACATTGCCGAGCGACTTTTCAGTAACAGATCACAGATGGCGTCAAAATGTGGTAAGAACAAAAAAAGTGACAAAATGCGCAACATCAAAGTAAGTTTTGCCGTTTTGTTTCCCGTTTTACCTTTAAAAGTATTGAGGGAACGTGCCCTACATCTACCCCCACGGTCACCTCCAGCTCCTTCGAGTCTGGCATAATAAAATGTGCAAAGAAGTTTCACTTCGACGTAGTTCGCTCGTGAGTGTTGCTTGACAATAGTTTTATCTTAAAAAGAGCCGCTAAGCGCTCCAAATAACTATAAATTATTTTTCAGGTATAGAAAATGATCAGCCAGCGTCGATTCACCTGTTTTCTCATCACATTGTTTGTGTTCGATGCATCATTCATTGACCAGGTTAATACTCAATGTGGTCATTTCAGTAAGCCTTATGGAGTCAATTGGGTCAACAACTGGGATGGAAGGGCTTATTTCAACTGTGGAATAGGTAAGCTCAGGTTCACCAATCAGGTAAGGTAAAAGCGGCAGCCTGAGGAAAAGGCGATAATCGAATTAGTCGGAAGGCTACTAGCTATGATTTAGAGGACAAACTTGATCTTATTATATCATTTTAAAAAATTGAGCCTAAAGCGCGAGAATTTTTAGATTTGCTCAAACACGTGCTACGAGAGTTTGGAACAGCTTCAACTGCTCCGGAGTAATTTCTCAATTTCATTTCTATAGTTCACAGATGGCAAAGAAAAGCAGCTACAACAAGTATAAAATATGGTCATGCATAGACATTGTGAAACTGAAAGACACACTTTTAGCCTCCTCGATGCCAATATCTAAAAAGACTTTCAGCAGTTAAAAATTGCTGGGGGAAAGTGCCGCCAATTCTGGTTGTAACGAGACATAATTATATCTTTCAGGGAATTGCAGTAAGAACTGTTTGTGACTTATTCTTTGCTTGTTTATTTTCATGTTCACTGTAATGATTGGGCTGCCAGAGAGGGCAACGCCCAATAGAAAAATGGAGGCTTCCGTCTCCGTGCAGCAAAGAGACAAAATGGCCGACGGACCTCCCAGAAGGCTTTGCGTGTCTCATTTCCCCCTTCAATGTGGCCGATTTTTGCGGGAAAAGAACGGGTCATTGCGAACAGATTTGGAAGTCGATTTTGAAAGAACACAAAACTATTGCGTGGAGTTATTAGCCCTTTATCTACGCCGAATAATTATCTCAATACAGTATTCGATAATGTTGTTAGCCTGTGCGGGAGCTGCAGAAACAATGCCCTTCCACGGTCCCCAAAGGAAAAGCTTTAACTTGTTGCAATTCTCTCCAACTTCTCTCCCTACGTGTGGAAAGTCTTTCCTTGCAAGAAAGGAATATATGCTATTTGTAAATCGACCCATTAAATAGAAACAAGTTCACTTGGAGAGCTAGATGGGCTTTAAATGCCATATCCGACCCACAATACACAACTTAATATGCTTTGCGAGATTTGAGAAACAAAAAGTTATTGTTAAAAATTTGAAACACCAAAATTGACCCTGTCACACTTACATAAGAGTAGAGAGTCAATAATTGTTGGAATTTCCGGTTAGATAAGGTTAGTCACAATAGTACTGTCATGCTATATTTTGGGGGGCAGAAGGATGGGGGAAGGGGGTGAGTTGTGTTAGAAAGGCTGTCTCTATCCCATTCCACGGGTTAGGAGTAGCTATACACTCAAGCCGGTAAAAAGTGTAACTATAATCTATACTTCCCTAAACAAAAAAACACTGCATCACGCAGTTGGCCGCCCAATAAACCCCCACTATATGGGGGTCTTGTTCTTTACATAAATAAGGGCCAAATATAATCTTCTTTAATAATCAGCCCGTACGAAATGCATGAGTAGTCAATATATCACTGCCTATGCTGAGTATTTGAGATTAAGCAGTGATTTAAAAAATCGTCTTTCTCGGACAAGAAGAAATCCTATTGGACGTAAGATTTTCTTTCACTGTCCAATCAGAAGCCTGATATGACTTGTGTCAATTGTAAAGAAAATCTTTTTAACAAGGCAACAATATACGATCGTGCTAAAGAAAGTCACTCTATCTTTTTTGATACACTGTTGAACCACTGAAGTAACTAAGTAATAACAATGATACTCATCGTTATTAGGTTTCATTTTGCAACTCATGATCAAGCGTCCAGGCCTCTTGAATCTTTCGTGTCTATTAATTACACCTGTTGTATAATTTCAATAGGTAAATCAATCAGTCGTATTCAGAGCCTTCACAGGGACTGTATTGAGGATCGGATTTGGTCTTTCAGCTGCAGGTCGAACGCAGCAGCCCAAAGCTGCTCTTGGACACCAACTCTAAATACTTATGACAACGTCTTGGACTACAATTGTCCACATGATGGTTTTATTACAGGCATAATTAGTTGGCACCATAACTATTATGAGGATCGCAGGTAATATATTCTCTCCTTAAATTTAAAAAAAAAATGAAGGGATATAAAGAGGTAAAAAACGCAAAAGGACGAAAATTGTTATATATTGCTAAAATAACGAGAAATTAGAGGGGGTGTTTAAAACTTTTACGAAAATCGGAAAAGATAGTATTCGGGGTTGTTAAAAATTAGAATATGAAATGATTTATTAGTAGACAAATACAAGATGTCCAACACCATAGCAAGGTGGTTCTTGCCCTTTAGCAGACTAACTGGGTTATGTGTAAACCTTTCTGCTACCCTAATTTATTCTCAAATCAATCAATCTCTATTTTTTTCAGACAAGATAAAACGGGCACAAGTTGACCCGAATTTTCAAGAGAATTTAACATTTTCTCTTGCAGGTTTCAGTTCAGGTGTTGCCATAGCCACCGCTACAGACGCACGAACTGTCACTACACGCATTTTACAACAATGGACCACCCTTTTAATTATTACGTCCCTTATGGCTACTATTTAGCAGGAGCATACAGCGTTCACTCTGATTACTATGAGTAAGCAAAACAACTGTAACATGAAGACATAACTACTGTAGCAATACACTACTGTTATTATATGTACCTGATTTTCATCACGAAGCGGTGACTTGAAGTCAATGGCCCTGTTTTCTTTACCCTTCCCTTGTGAATTCGCCAGTAAGTAAAAAGAGTAGCAGACGCATATCCCGTTAGAGTTCACCTGACGTGTTTTCTTTTCATTTAGTGGTCTTTTATTTACTCTAAGTAGAAATACAGGGAATTTCCAATTAGATGCAAAAAAAAACAAAATAAAAAACGAACTAAAAGTGTATTTTTCGGCCATTCTTATGCCTTTCCCTCATTTTTCTGCCATTCTCTTTCAGGGACCGTAAATGGAAATTCTATATCTGTCAGAGAGTGTAAGCCTAAGACCACAGTGAATACAGAGTTCTTCGTATTAAGAAGAATTGTACACTTCCACTAGTAATTATCCAAAAGTATATCAAGCAAGTTGAGTTCAATTTACTTTAGTTTAAAAACCTATTATAAGATCCCTAGAATGAGTAGTCTCGAAATTTAGAGGTGTGATTTTGAAGACGTTTTTTACCTAAAGGAGCTATTTTACCAAGAAAGAGTCACTCGAAGTGCTCGGTGGCGCCGAAACCGGAAGTGAACTGATTTTGTAACCCCCCGGACATTGAATTAGTTTGAATAAAAACGTTTATATATACCGATGTGTGTAAAAATACCTTTTACCAGAGAGGTTAAACTTCACGTTTACGTCAAACTGCAAACCCGAATGTGTATGTACCACGTGACCAAGTTTCCCCTTCACTTGCCGTTTACTGTTCATTATTTCTACACATAAATTAGTAGTTTCACGCAATTTTTTATTCATAGGAATGTTTTGAACCGTTTTTAGCCGCTAATTTTCTATTTTGAAAATTCTCAACTTGAATCTGACATTTGCCGTTTACGTGAATCTTAAACTCTCTATTCACTAGCACCATCTTGAAGATGGCACCGAAAATTTTTTTGCTAGGTTCATGATTTAAGGGGGCCATTAAACGAGGGCTTTTCGTAAGCCTGCCCAGATTTTCTTTTTCATTATTTCTTGAGAAGCAAATGCTACGAAAGCTGAGGAGGGTCTTCCGACTTCCAACTTCCGACTTCTGATTTCCGACTTCCAACTTCCAACTTCCGTAGCAGTGAAAGGCGGTGAGAGGCCTACACGACTTTTACCTTATGCTAAAATGCTGCTTGTTCCAAAAACGTTTTTTTCCCTTCTGCTTGGTAGATTATGCTCTAGAAGGTTCTGGTTAAGCCGCATATTTCACATTGAGAGGTCATGGCACACATATCTATTTGCCATGGTTTTTGTTTCTGGTCGGCAGGATTTGCCCTCTGATGCAAGAGCGTATTCTTTAAAGCTTTTTATTAAGGCCAAATAAGGGCTCTACCTTTCTCCAAAGTGCCTTCTGGACCTGAATAACTATGTGACTGTTTTTAATCCGTGAATATGCAATGCTGTATCACGCTGGACCCAGCTCTTTAGTTTTCTTTGCAGGATGTTAAATTATTACGGATAGTGATTTACAGATCCAAAGTGATAAGAATGAAGCGCAGCTTAAAATGAAGCTGCATCAACTATGGAGAATGCATTGTGACTCAGTAGATTCCAGCTTAGTGCTTAGTGAAGAAAATGTGAGTCTTTTGACTGGAGCGCGTATTTCCTTCCTTGGTTATAGGTTTTTAATAAGCTTAACAGTGTTTGGACTGTTTTGTTAACACTGTTGCCACTTTGTGATCAGGGAAGACCATGGTTTCGGTTCCCCAAGCGAACCTCATCAGTTGCCTGATTGGCTTTGTGCTTAGTTGCTTTTATAAGAGCAACTTTAGTTGTTCTCTTTTGTGGCTAGAACGGTACAGCCGTTCTTTCTACTGAACCTTGACCTTAAGCATTAATACCCGCCTGGCGAATCGAGCGGCAATCGAGCCCGACAGAGCCCCAAGTCGGAAGTTTGAAGTGGGAAGTCGGAAGTTGGAAATCGGAAGTTGGAAGTCGGAAGTCAGAAGTGGGAAGTGGGAAGTGGGACGTCAGAAGTCTAACCATGCAGCATTGAGTCTCAACGGTTAGAAATCAGAAATCCGGAGTTCGAACTTTGTCAAGTCTGAAGTCTGAAGTTTGAAATATGAAGTCGGAAGTCGGAAGTCAGAAGTCGGAAGACCCTCCTCGGCTTTCGTAATACGCAAATTGAACAAAATTATGATTTCTACGCATTTAGAGGGTGCACTTTGCGCAATAATTTTTTTGTTCGCACTTGAAAACAAAAAACGACAATATACTTGAACTGCCGCGTCATTAATAACAACAGTTACTGTGCATGTGATTGGCAGGATTTGAAGACACTAAGTAAATGTGAACAGCGATATAGAGCTCTTCTCTGATAAAAGTACTGCCTGCCTTCTTAGACAAGGAAGCTGTTTTTTCTATTTCTATTTTCTCCTGTGAAAAAATTATGAAATCTGCAAACTAGAACTCAGGGTAAAACTAAAAATAGACTATATAATTGCTTACTTCTAAATAAACGCCTCTTGTCTAATAAACGTAACGGCCCCTTTACGATGTAAGTTTGTACTATTGTAGTTATACGCCCCTCTCTAATAAACATGATGCCCTCATGACTGTTATTCCAAAATTCTAGGTATAAAAAAAAAGGAGCAAGACCCTTCAAATACTTTTCATAAACTCTTTTGATGTTTTTGCCGAAAGCGTAGTTTTGAGAGATTTTTATAAAATGAAAATAAACGCCATTTATTGGTTTATAATTAAACAAAAAGGAATTAGTTGGTGGAGGATTTAGCAAAAAAAAAAAAAAAATAATAAAACTAGTTGTTTGATAAAGCCTGGACTGCATGGCTGCTCGACACTTGTACAAAAAGGGCAAAAATTAAGGTTCCTAAACTTCATTTTGTTTAGAACGGCATGTGTCAGGTACTGGGATGAGAAGACTGAAACAACTTAATGAAGAGAGACTAGTCTCTCGCATTTTATTCACAGCTTATCAATACCTCATGATCAAGCACAAATGACAAAGTTTATTTTTACTCTCGGCAACAAAAGAAATATATGGAATAGAATTAAAAATACACACAGTAACCCCAAGCAAATAAAAAGGAGAATCCAGCTGGGTGAAGTCATTGACACTAGTGCACCAAAGAAGCCATCCATTTTACCCTTAACCTTGACTTTCCCCGCTTCCCACGATACAGAAACAGAGTTCGAAAAACAGCGGAAGTTCCTCCTTGCAACCACTCATGATCAGGTAAGCGACCAGCTCTGGTTATGACCACCTCTTTGTAACCCCGTTCGGACCTGTGCCGATTTAAACTTTGTAAAGAAAAACTCTCGTAAGACCTCGTTAGCGACCGCGACCACTTTACTAACTTTAGGGATTACCCACGACTGGACTTTGTTTTTAGCCGTGGGCTTAAATGGCCTAAGGTCAGCAAAAAAACGTGAAGAATTTACATGAATAAAAGAAGGCTTTTAACTTATAAATAATTACAATACTAATGCAAAGAAAGAAAAAGACAGTCAGAGAACCTACAACTGAGATACAATACTTAACAACTAATTAACAATACTTAAACAACTAATTATGACTACTAAATTTACAAACACTCGATAATGTATTCCTATAGAGTGTTTTCACATGACGTCACGGCGGCCATATTGGTGTCCCAAAACAATGAAACGGCAGCCATGTTGGTGTCCCAAACCAATCCGCTGGGAGTTGAACTCTTTTCTTATGCAAACGCTTTCTTTTGTTTCAATAAATTTGCACAGATGCTGGCCACGTGAGTGAAAACACTCTATAAACTATACAATACAAATACACCTAGTATAGTCCCACAAGGTATACAAAATTGGTGACGACATGAGACTTGGTTAAACTATAAAATCCACAAATATTTAACAACTAATACTTAACAAGTAATTATGACTACTAAATTTACAAACACTGGATAATGTATTCCTATAATTAAACCAGCAAACAAACACACCTACTATAGTCCACAAGGTATACAAAATTGGTAACAAGAGAGTTGATTAAACTATATACTTAAGGGAAATAAGTTCTATAACCCTTCAACAATTTTTACATAGGCAAAATCAAGCACTCAAAAAATGTAGTCCTAACTTATTTTTAAAGTTACTTATTGTAAGGTTATTGCGCAGAGTTAACGGAATATCATTCCAAATAATGGTAGCTTGAAGCGATAGCAAATTGATACTTTTGACAGGTTTTATGCAGATTAAAACTTGAACGAGTCATATAACCGTGATATTCAGATTTAAAATATAGGATCGAGGAAACAGGAGTAGGTAAAACGGCTATTGAAATGTGAGAATACAAAACAGGCAACATGAAATTTATAGATAGAGTGGAGTGAAAGAATATTATGCTTAGAAAAAAGGGGCTTAGAGGGTGTGCGCGGAGGAAAAAAAAATAATTACAGGAATGGCTTTCTTTTGAAGTACGTAAAGTGGCTTAAGGTAAGAAGCATATGTAGATGCCCATTATAAACTACAATAATTGATGTAAGGTAAGAAAAGAGAATTATGTAAAGTTTTCAAAGTATCCAAAGGTAAGTTATGCCTTGAATTGCATAAAACTCCCATTACTTTAGAGACTTTATCACAGACATGAGAGACATGCAGTTTCCAAGATACATTTTCATGAATTGTAATTCCAAGAAATTTGTAAATAAACTCCCAGTTTGTGATACTCTTAAGTTTAACTTCACTCAGTCGACCGCACTTTTGCTTTTGATGAAATCTTTGGGAATTTTGAAAATGGTACCCTTTGATCTAACTTCGAATTACATTTGAGCGTTGCAGTGAATGCTCTGTATGCTGTATTTATAACCTATTATTCTCGGACACCAATGTTTGTATCAAACTATTTTATATGAGCATGCACTTGTTAAAAGTGTGGTATATAAGATACTACCTGGAATGATGAAAACCAGCTTAAACAGACATTTCATAATTTCTCCCAACTTCCTCGGTCTTAGCTTGTTTACTGTTAAGTTGTTTGCTTATGTCTCATCTTTTCTTGGTTTTTTCGTAAGTAGGAATTTGTGTAAAAATGGCTGTAGACAGAATTCTTGCGAATTTCTATTTATTTCCGAGAAAAAATAGTGTTGTGCTAGTAAAAAGAGTCTTAACCAGGCACTTTTTTACTGCATTTCACTCAACAAAAAAATTTCTAGGCTGAAATGACACCGGGTTCGGTAACTTCACGGAGTCAGATTACTGCACAAATGTCCTAAAATTTGTGTCATTTTAAATTTGCACTCTGTGAAACGCTTCTAGCGACCACTAACTTACTGCCCGTCGTCAGATTAACCCTTTTAATTAGCCTTTGAATGTTTTTTTATTGTTTTAAATTGCCAAGTAGTAGAATGAGTTGATTTTTTTTGCTTACCCGGTTTTCAAAAATCCAGGTAGTTATCAATTGTACATTTTAAAGTATAAGCTGTTATTCACTTTGAACAGCTCTCTCAATCTTTATTCCAATGAAAGTTAGTTTTAAAGAAGTTCTATATCATAAATAAACTTTAATAGTAAATGGACATTTAGAGGACAAGTTGTGTATTTTTATAAGCTGGAAAGGAGCATCATGTTGAATTAATTTAAAAGCGAAAAGGTATGAAGCAAATTTTCTCCACAAAATCCTACTAAGGGTTGCACTTAAAATAATAATAATAATACTAATAAAATTTTCGTAGAGGCAGGAAAAAATTCTGGCGAGCCAAGCCTCACCCACCCGTTTCTCGCATCCACCACCATCACTTTTCTTATGGTCCGTCCCTGATTGGCTCAAACTAGCCTTTATTTAAAGTCTTGTCCTGCCTAGATTAGCATTATAGCTATTTGCGGGACATGATGTATTGTAAACTTTATATTTCTTTACATAAATACTTTGTTGTTGTTCCTTTATTTCTTTAAATGTCACTGTACTTTAACATCCAATTAATTTTATTGATAACAATGCTAACTATATTAAAATCAGTAAAATCCTATTTACAAACTCTTAAAAAAACTGTTCCTTCAAACACTTAGTTTTGATGAGAAAAAATTAATTTAATCTAAAAAAATATTCGAATTAAAAACATTTCATTTCGATGAAAAAACGAAGAAGAAACTTAGGGAATTGTCAGAAATTAGCAGGGGGGAGGGGGTGGAAACAGAGGGAGGGTCATAACTTTTTGAGACTGCAGAAAAGGGAGGGGTCATAAAAAATGGGCCGTTAAAAAGGGGAGGGTCATGCAAATATGTGTCCGTGATCATGTAGAGGTTCACACACAGAAGAAAAGGGAAGTTCTTTATTTTGTAAAAAAAACCTGGGAGAAATAGGAGAGTCGAGAGATCAGCTGTCAGAATCAGAGTCAGACTCTTAATGCTGTCATCTAAAATGTATGTATATGGTATTACAAAGAACAGATTAGAAATATATTTCGAGCTTTCATAATACTGACTCACCCTAGTGTATTGCAAGAACTAGATTTTATTATTTATTCAAGAGGGGGAGGGTCATGATATTTTAGGCCAAGATCGAGGGGAGGGTTAGCAAATTTCACTCCCATTGCAGGGATGTGTCACCTCATTTCCAAACTCAGATTTAAAATTCCCCCCCCCCTCCCCCTGCTAATTTCTGACAAGCCCCTTACGCAGAGTATTTTCTGTCACTGTACTACCCATACTTTCATAGCTCATACATGAAGTAAATACCAAAGTGTCGTCCGTAATTCCAATATGGCGGACGAAACTTGTCTTGTCGTACGTGCAGCAATCTCCTCGAGATTTCTTCTTCTAGTTTTTCAAGTAAATATAGTTGTGGCCTGATGTCATTATTCCAGTTATTGTGTTGATATATGGTATTTGTTTTTTTCTTTTGCAGTTTGCTGCCAATGATTTTATTGATGATTACGACACTTCCAGTTTTACAGGTTTTATTGAAAAAACAAATCTTAAAACTACGGGGTATGACTGGATATTTCAGAGAGTTTTTGGAGGATTTGGAAAGTGGGATGCAGAGTATTTTCTGAAAATATCAGAAGAAGGTTACAAGTATGAACAGTATATGGCTTTCTTTCCGCTATATCCTTGGATATTACGAATTTCAGCACTGATATTTCACCCTATACTTCAATATTTTGTTTCTCAACAACGCAGTGCTATATTAGCTTGTGGATGGCTTTTAAACACAGCGTTTTTCTCACTGGCAGCAAAGTCGCTTTACCAGCTGTCTCGTACTATATTTGGGAGAAACGATGTGGCTTTGATGTCATCTCTTTTGTTTTGCTTTAACCCTGCAAGTGTGTTCATGTCAAGTCTGTACACAGAAAGTTTGTTTTGCTGTCTCCAGTTCACTGCTTTGCATTACCTGGAACAAGAGAAAGCTACAATAGCTTTACTGCTCTTTGGACTCGGTGGTGCAACACGTTCAAATGGGATCATATCATGTGGTTTTGTGGTGCATAGAATATTAAAACGCTTTGTCTCATATGAACTAATTTCTTTTAAAGCATCATCAAATAAGTGGACGTTGAAATTTCCAAATGTATCCTCATCATTTGTTGTTATTTTGAAAGTAATAATTTCAAGCAGTATTGTGCTGATGCCATTTATCTTTTTCCAGTTTTATGGGTACAGTCTGTATTGTACACCAGTTGTTAAAGCCAGGGTGACTCATCACAAGTCATGGTGTGGCAGGTGGCCTCCATTTCCTTACTCATACATTCAGAAAGTGTACTGGAATGTAGGATTTTTACGTTACTTTGAACTAAAGCAAATACCAAATTTTTTTCTTGCTACACCAATGATTATTTTAAGTTCATGTGCTGTGTTGACATACTGCTGTAGTCACAAGAATCTTGAAGTTGTTACAACACTTGGTCTGTTACAAAGAAAATGCGAACTTAATGAAAGCATGACAAGGTGGGTAGTATATAGTACTTAATAAAATTATATGTACTTTATTCCTTATACATTTTCTGTGAAAGTGTCTCTTATAATGGTATTATTTTTATAGAAGCTACATGTACAGTAAGGCCTTAGAAAATAGTTTATATTTATCATCATCATCCTTAGGGTAGTATAAAATGAACTGAAATTGAATTAAATTAAATTAAATTCAGAGTGAAATTTTTTTACTTAGGTTGATTTTCAGTTTCCTTTGTCTCCTATTCATGAATTGGGGCTAGGTGACAAACAAAATTGAGAATCAAATTCCAGGTGAAAAAATTCAATTTTTCTGAATTATTTTAAATTTGACCTGTAACATATATATCATTCTGTCTTGATCTTGCCCAATAAAGCTTGAAATGATAATGACGATGACAACGATGACGACGATAATAATATTAAGAGTAGAATAAGAATAAGAAGATGTCGTACATGTACATGTTAACACTAAGGGTGCGTTTCTTATCACCCTTATTATGGAAGGCATGTCAGTTTGCAGTCCTAGTCCTCTAAGGTTGGCTTGGGGATGCTCAATACACAGCTGTATAATAGAGGACTACTAACGCCTCAAACAGAAAGTTCAAACTTGATTTTGCCAAGGTGACCATACACTGTAGGTACATTCAGGGTACATACATGTACAATAGCCTACTTATGAAAATGATCTCTGGCCATTTGGATACCTTAACTGTATTTTGCCAACATGAAACGTTCTCTATTTCAATAGGAGATCAATTCATCAGACAAGATATCAAAAAGAAGATGGTGAATTCTATAACAGTCCTTCAGTCTTTGTGTTTGTTGCTCATCTTGCATTTATGACACTGTTTGGGTTTACCTCAATGCATGTTCAGGTTAGTATGGTATTTCCCTTTGTTTAAGAAAAATGTGATTTATAAGATATTTATTACAGTGTGAAGAAAAAGTGCATCATCCTGCTTTTAAGTTACCGTAAAATTCCAAAAATAAGCCTGGGGCTTACATTTTTCCAATCGCCTTTTTGAGGAGCTTATTTTTGGAGGAGCTGATATTCGGAGAGGCTTATCTATGGAGGGAAATTTGGATTTCAAAATCGATTGTGCAGCTTTATAGTTGGAAAGAAATTTATGCTTTTTGCTTTGTTTTACTTTGTATTTGAGGGCAATTTCCAAGTACAAGCCCCCTCCCCCCGGGGGGGGGGGAGGTGGGGGGGCTTATACTTAGAGGGGCAATTTAACAGAGGGTTTTTTGCATTACAAGTTTCAGGGCTTGTATTTGGAGGGGCTTATTTTTGGAATTTTATGGTAGTTTTTATCATCTATTTTGTATTTCTCATGATGAACTTATTATTTTTTATGATTTACCATGGTATTGTTTTTGTCATTGACACAGGTCATCACAAGATTGATTTTCTCAGCTTCTCCTCTCATTTACTGGTACACTGCATATGTCATCATCAGTGATTCTACTGAACCACCATACAGACACTGCAGAAGCAAATGGAAGTCTCAGTTAATTCTTGTATATTTTCTCTTGTACTTCTTCATTGGCACTGCTTTGCACTGCAATTTTTACCCATGGACGTGATAGACTTGGATTGTACATGTAATCTATAGGTCATTGTCATGACCATTTTCATCTTGGAGCTCAATTCCATAATAATTGTAACATAAACTCCTATGAGGGTCAATAATAGGGTTCTTCAATCCTGTTATCCCAACCCAAATTTTCACTCATTAATCCCATAATCTTGATAGGCATTTTCGACATCCCGCAATCCTGTTCATGCTTTCAATCCTAAATTTACCCCCATTATTCTTTGAAATGCAACGTACTGAACAAACCTACTAAAAATCCAGGCTCTCACGTTAGGTTGCATTACAACACTTTTTCCCTTGGAGGTACTCCTGGGAATTCTTGTTGTGAGTGTGCCACCCCATTCTTCCAAATCCTGACCTTATGTCACACCAAAAAAGGTAATTTTCCACACCCATTCTTAAACCTGGCCTCTAAAATCCACACCCGTTTTCAGACCTGGCCTCTAAGAAATTATGTCTCCATTACTAAAACATACACTCCTGTAGTTCCCTTGAATACCTTGCCTGATGGGCAAAGTCTATACCTGTTTTTAGACTGAAACGGTGCAAAAACCATACCCTTTGGGTGGCACATACCTATATGCCTTATATTGGGGAGCACCCCCCGAAAATTCAGTAGGTCAAAGAAGATTACGATATAGGATAATTGGTACGCAGACAAAACCAGATTTTCAAGAACAAATGAAATTAATATTTTATCTGAAGAGTACTTTACATGTGACTTCTACCAGAGAATTTTGGTTTGTTAGACTGCAAGTTTTCTCTCTTTTTGTTCAGATTAAGTGAGGGAAATGCATGCATGCAAGCCTCAAGTGGTTGTTTTTGTCTCTTGGGCATTTTGCTCGATGGACTAATGAAAAAGAGAGACTGCTCATAGTCTATTGGCTTGTAGACTTTTTATCAAGTCCTTACAATGTGATTCTTGGAGTTCTCCTTTGCATGCTTGCTTTTTGCCTCCATATTATAGTTAGTTGAGATTCACTGCATTTGAGCACACTTTTATGCTAAAAAGGAAACTAACCCAAACACTGGCAAAGGCAGGGGTACATCACTTGTCATTATTACTTGTGCAATGCTTTGTTGTTTTGGGCATGGTTGAAATTGAAGAAGCCATATAAATATTTCAGTATGGATGGTAGAAATAAGGTTATATTTGAAGAAGCAGTTAAAAGTTCTTTGTTAAATAATTTAAATAAACACCATTTGTAGATTTTTTGTTTAGTTTGTACTTTGAATCATAACCCAGTGGGGGTACTTCTTGAAAATTTGGGCTGGATAAACAACAAGGGCATGTTTCCTGAAACCAATACCCTACTTCAGGCCAAGAATGTGATATTCCTGCACCACACTGCTCTCCAGACGTAGTTAATCGATAAACCAATAATCAATATTACTCGATAGTGGTCGATATCAATCATCCATGAATATCGATTTCTGATATCAATCGATAGAAATTGATAAAGAAAAAAGTTGTCACTTCGATTATTATTGATGATTTTCTGATAGAAATTGATGATGATTTTTTTATCGATTGTTATCGATTTTGTTAATCAATAGTAATTGATAAATTATTTTTTCTGTGACTTCGATTTCTATCTATATTAATCGGTGGATTAAATCGATTAATGTCGATGATATCGGTTGATTTCCGATAACGATTTTTATCGATTAACTACGTCTGGTGTTCTTTAATATTGGCCAATTCTAGCGTGACCCCGGTTTTAGAGAGTACAAAACCTTACATACCTTCTTTCAGACCCAGACGGTCAAAAGTTCAGACTGAAAGGATTGAAAACCATACCCATCGTGCGCTTGAAAATGTGGTTCCCGCGTGGATTAAATATTTCGATCTCACCGGATTTAGCCATAACAGCGTCAAATCACAAAGCTGAAAAAAAAAAACCGAATAAAACGAGACAGTGGTGAATTGATTGGAAACAGACCTAAACCGGAAATGACTCCAACGCGTGGAAATTACGTTTTTCCTACCACACCTAGACAAAATGTACAAGAGGGCTATTAAAGTTTCTTTTTCTCTTTTTTAAGGCTAAATGAGCTGAATTTTTTTCAGACAGAGAGGAGCTGAAACCATAAATAAGTTTATCTTGATAAATTAATGACATAATTTTCCGCGTAAAAAGGTTACTATAGAAACTAATTGTTCGAGGTTGGCCTGGAGGCGGGAACGTTAATCGAACTTGTTTATATTCGTCATTTGTTGGCCAGTGGAGATTAGATGCTGTGCTCCGGCCTGGAGTAATCTTATGGAATTTCGACTTGCCAAGGGCCGTCGCCGGTAGAATGGGTTGTGGGAATAGTACGGCAAGAGAAGATAACGAAAACGGAGGCTCAAGATTTGATTTTAGCCGACGAAACACGTTAGTTGAGAAGCCCAATGTCGTGGTGGAGATTGGGAAAGGGGTGATGAAAATCGACAGGGAACGGCGTATCGTGTTCATTTTCGGTAGGTAAAAATCTTGTCGTTTTTTATTTGATCCGTAATCTTCCTCTCCAAACAAGCCTTCCGGTAAGAATTACGCTCATCGTTTTTTTTTTTGCATGACTTTCGCAACTGCCAAATTAACAGGATACTTTTGAGAACCAACTGGCATGGCCCTTGCGGTACGTTTGAATGTGACGAATAATTCTCGCGTTTTCTAATTGCATTTACTTTGACCTATATTTTTTCTACTTTAATCTTTCTCTGAAATCAAATTTGCTTTCAACGGGCTTGGAAACGTTCTTTGAAATGCAAAGCCGGTACTAATTGTTTGAACATCAAAGATACCAACAAGAGAACCATTTTGTTTCCGAGGAATCGTAAGCTTAAATTAGTGAAAAGTTTAATGGCATTGGTCTTTGACGCCACTTAAATCTTTTGTCTGTGAAATGCTCATCAGCCAAAGAGGCAGTAAAAATTGCACAGATGTTTATAATGGAAGAAATCCATTTTCACCTTTGTTGGCATTGTGTATATTGTGTCTTCTTCGCCACTTCAGTTGATGATTGAACCCTATTGTTAATTTCCTTAGCGATATTTTAATGCGATATTACTCGTTCGACGCTCTGTTTTCAAAACTTTAAGATTACAGTGTGTTAGGTGATTGTTATAAGGGAGCATTATTGAGAATTTTTGTCCAAGAACAAGGACAATTATTTTTTTGCTCTGAATGTTATCACTGATCCGCAAGAAATTTTTAATTATACTGAGACTTATTCCCTTCACGTTTCACCTGAGCATAAAAATTATTGAACTTTATAGTCAGGTTAAATTTCATTTATTATGCATACATTTTTGATACTAACTGTACTCGTTATCACTGTGAGAAATGCCTAAGGGCTAGTTTAACTAAGCTGCACTCCAGTGGCTGGGAAATTTTTAGAACTGAGACTTTAGAACTTTTTAAGTATTATGGATTGACACTAATAGCACAGAGCCCTTCAGTAAAAAGGTATACTCCTAATGTGTTTTATAAAGCCCATATGATCGTCCCGATTGCCCCGTCATTTAAAAAAGTTTCAAGACGATCCCTACGGCTGGGACAATTGGTAGTTTCCATATAATCTTCTCCATGGCCTCGAGACAAGAGGTGCATGGTTGTCAGTGATGCTTCTGGGTCGGACAATGGGATTTTTGCATGTGTTTTGTAAATAAGCCAATCATGATGGTGGATTTTAATTGACAAGTGAATTTTGTGGCTTGCTATCTGCTTTTTCTCTTGATTTTTTGGCATAGACAAGCTACAAGAGTTCCTTGAAGACATAGTGTCACGTCAAGAACTTGATAGATTAACGGACTTTCTCTTTTTTAAATTGCACCCATACACAATGTGAACATATCTGTATTATTATTTTTTCAACTTCTGGATTACTGGAATTTGGGTGATGATTTCTGGGATAGCCTTTGATCGTCCCCATCATCTCAGTCATCTGAGAGCATTTCTTTGTGATCGATCGTCCTGATTGTCCGGATAAAACTCAGTTCTATCCAAGCGATCTAGGTCATCTCAGTCATCCGGGTTGTTTGCGATTGTCTGGGTTGTGATTCCATACGATTGTCCTTACCGTCTGAACATTATTTGGGATGACCGGTATGATCAGGACAATCTGGACTATCATATGGAAACCAAGCTTAAGGTTTGATCAGTTGTCTTTTAAGGTCAAGTAATACAGGCAACATTGTTGGATTACAAGTGAAAAAGCATTGTTGTCCGTGTTACGACCTGTGTGCTCAACTTGTCAGGCAATAAATTTCCATTTTGCAAGTTGCAGTAACACTTGACGCAAAGTAGACCCAAGTTCTGCTTTTTGCAACAAACTTTCAGTTTTCATTACTTGGGTCACAACGTGTGTGATTGGTCAATTCTCCGGCATAAAAAGCATGGGGAAGGTGGTGAGCATGCACACTAGACCTCAAGCATGTCTGTTTTCATGTGACTAACTTTCAGGATTTCAGGCATAAGTGGTAAAGAGCAGGAATTGTTTCTGAGAAATTGATAGTTGCAAAGATTGAGTGACTGAAAGAGTTCCTGTAGTTGGATATTTATGGTAAAGAAACAGCAAGACATTAGACTGTTTTAAAATCATGCAGTACAATCATGTCAAGTAGTTAAATACCTTTAAAGAATTCCATTCACTTTCTCCCCTGTCCTGACAAATTCCACTTAGTTTGTCCGATATCTAGAGTAGAGTAGTAGCCCATCTTCATTAATTTGTAGTTTGGAAAAGAAAAAAAAAACTTGAAAAAATTTCATATCAAATGATAATTTTTTGTCCTCGAAAAAAAAATTGAGTGACAACGCTCTATTAACTATTGTCAATTTAAATAAATTTGCTTTTAGATGATGTAGACCTGTTTGTTTGGCATCATCTGTTCTGCCAAGTCTCCTTTGCTCACCAGTTAAATTGATCCAAAAACTCTTCAACGTGAAGATTCAATTTTTAAATTCATGACATTCATGGTCACATTTATTCATTAAACGGCCATGTTTAGAAGCATAATATTGACAGAAAAATTGGAATGCAAAATTGCAGAAAAATTACTGTTTTCTTGTGATTTCTAGGTGGACCTGGATCAGCAAAAGGCTGTATTGTCAATGACCTGAAAGCCATGTTTAGCTTTGCCTTTGTATCAGCAGAAGATTTAATTTTACAAAAACTTCCAGAGAAAGCCACTGAACAGGGTCTTGAAACCATGACAGGAACACATGGACTTGCAGAACTTTTGAAAAACAATCCAGATGTTCTCACACTGGACTGGGTTTTGGAAATTCTTGAGGAAGAGATCAAGAAATATCCTGATCAACCAATTCTGGTGGACCTAATCCCAAATCTTAAATTTATGATGAGAGTGGATGGATTCATCAAGAAATGTGACAAAGAAATGGAAGAATTTGAAAAGAGGGTGAGTGTTGGAACTGTTGTGTAATGATACTATATTTCATGTTATTTCAGGCAAGCTAAGTGAGCCTACTGCCCCGGGCATCAGGGGGCATTCTTATTTACACTTCAAGTTGGTTAATTCATCATCTAAGATATGCATGGGAGTAGCCCGTAAATGAGCTTTTGCAGGGTACATTGTAGTGGTAGGGGATAATGAGAGCTCTCACAACCCCCACCACCACCCTCTCCTGAAGGTTTGTGTGGAGGCTAGTATGTTAGCTGTTGCATGAATGCTGTGTGTGGCCTACAATCAAATGATGAAGTTCCTGACAAATGAGTAGTTACTCTGCTTAATTGACTTAAGACCTTTCCCATTGCCTCACCAGCTGAAGAGTAATTAAACTCAAAGGTTTATATTACATGTACTTCAGTGGAGGGCAAAGTTTTTATAACTTAGTTCCTCTTTCCACCAATAATAAAACTCACATTTCCCATACATTAGCTCCAATTGTAGCTCTAGAGGACTGTATTATTACCGGGGCTGAGCTCAAGAGGTAGCCTGGGTGGTAACTTATTTTTGTCTTTGAGTTATCAGAAAAATCATAATTTTTTTCAGACAGACCTATATGCTGGGCAACCAGCTGGAAATATGATTGAATTAATTTAATGAAATAATTATATCTACAGTATATTTTTAAATTTTTAGTTTCCATGTGCATTTGCCTTGAACTTGACGTTATCAAAAGAGAATCTTTTAAAAAACATAAAGAACAGTCATTCTCCAGCATGTGCAAAGCCTCCAAGCTCAGATCCAAGAGATGCGTCCTCTGACCAAGGTGATGAAATGGATACAAGCAGAACCAAACGCCGTTTTGCACTTTATGAAAGGTCTGTACGAGATTTCTTAAATTATTTCAGTATTGGGGACAGAATAGTGAGGTTTGACACATCTGCAGCGCAAGTGCAGCATATCTGGGATGCTATGATGGACTTCTTTGCCGCAGAAATGGATTTTAGTGCCAACAGAGTCATTAACACCGTGATACTTTTTTCGTTTGGTATGTTACATTAACTTTTCTTTTTTCCTTTGTTCTATGCATGGCTTCTGATGATATGCAATCTCACGGTGAATTGCATTAAAAATCTCTTAATAAATTATATAACATTATTACATACTGTAATCTGGAAAAATATCCTGTTCTTGACAAGTGTTGTAGTCATGGCCAGCATCATACATATGTCTGTGTGATCAGCCTTATAATGAATAAAATACCATGCTTTCAATCTTGTACATTGTACCTGGAGAAAAAAACACGAAAGGAAATTCTATAGCACTGCAGACTGTTTTTTTAAAATCAGTCTGATTGTAGGGCTGATTTTATCATGGCACTTTCTTGTAGGTTAAATGTTTGGTGTAAATTAAATGAAATAAAACAAATAACAAGAGAGAACAACAGAGACAGAGAACAACTACATAGTGTTTCTTCATCTACACTAGACCTTTCCCTTATTATGCTCCAGTAAACAAACATAAAGAAATGAGGATGAGGCTCGGATGGACAATTTCATACAAATCACTGTAGTTTTTCCACCTGAGCCTCGAGTTGGTGCCTTTGTTTACAGGAATGCAGGAAAGATCTATTCCTGGTCAAATTGGAATGTAGAAGTGTCGGTTATTTTAGAAGGGAAAATCCGGAGAATAGGGAGAAAAATCTCTTGGAACAAAGAAAAGAACTAACAACAAACTCAAGCCACATATGGCGTTGATGCGGGGATTTGAACTTGGGCCATATTGGTGGGAGGAAAGTGCTCTCACGACTGTGCCACCATTGCTATCCTTGCACTCTAAGTTGCAGAATGGAAGTGGATTGGTAGATGTATGTGTGGCTAACATGCACCGCACTACATCCATTCACTATAGCATTATAGACCGGCCTTAAAATAGCCTCCATCTTGTTGCAGACGAAGAAACATACAGGTCAATAGATACCAGTAGATATCCCATGAAGGAAATTCTACTATCTGAGCTAACTGAAAAACCTCAGGCACCTGCTGTAAGTATTAACTTCTGAGACAAAGCATTCTTCGTTCTTTTCATTTTTTTTTATTGTCCTTATCTTCACATTGGAAGAAAATGATCGGGGAATGCCAATGACCAACCCTAAGTTTTTTCAGTTTTCGGAAGATGCCCCGTCTTATAGACTATAAAGTGACTGCTGTATCATAAGCCTGTGCCTGCAGGTTCTCAGATATCATATGCGTATGTTGGAGCTTGGAACAGGCCACTGTATCATTTTCTAGCCATTTTTGTCAATGAATTCCGTACCTAGTAAGTTCGTCTGGCTACAAGTAATTCTGTTGGACTTTCGTTATTCACTCCACAAATCTGTGAAAGACATCAGACAGGTGTTTCTAGAATCACTTGACCTCCATTCCAAAGTGCATCATGATGTGTAGTGCCGGGTTGGCTATGTGTAATTCCACAGATAGATGTACATTTTCTTCACAGCTTATAAATGATATTTTCTTTTTACAGGAGGATGTTCTTTCAGTGCTTGCCAAGCATTTAGATGAAAGTGCTTTGCAGACACGTTCATTCTTGGTTGACGTTTCAGGTACATCAATTGATAAAGAACATATCTGTGATCAGGTAAACCTTATACTAACATAGAATAAGCTTAGTTACGAGCGTAGCATTTCGTCCAAATTAAGAACATAGTTCTGGAAAATTTAAAGGGCTTAACTTATTTAGCTTGTGGTGAAGAGTTGAACATTCTTTCTTTTTAAGACTTTTGCCTTAACCTCTCAGAATATTGCAGTCGACCCGCGCTTTACTGACAGTATTCTTTGTTCCTGGGGAAAGCCCTTACATTTTCCCTAATTTAAACCCGCTTGGTACGGACACTCTTTAATCCCAAAAACAAACTCTTGTTTCTTGCAAAATCTACAGATTCTCATAAAAAGTCTACCTCGCTAATGCGCACACTTTATTGGCAACTACCCTTTCCTTTTTGAAGGTAAAAAAACCGTCTGTCGACACAGTATTTCGATGTTCTCCGCGCTAAAGTGCAACGGATAGGATGAATTGTAGACGTCAATTTCGGACTTAATTTTCGCACAAAACAAGTTTTGCAGAGGAGAACGTTTTTGATTGGAGTAGTGTATAAATGAGCGATTTAAAGTGTTGCCGTTTACAAAGTCCGCGAAAGGACGGCTTTGTGAAGGTTAGAGATGTTTAATTTGATGATGCTAATGTTTTTTTATTTCTTTTATTTAAAAAAAAAAAACACGACCGGCTTAATACGGACACCCCGTTGATACGAACGCTTTCTGTGGCCCCTTCAGTGTTCGGATTAACGGCGTGTGACAGTAATTATATAAATGCTGTCTCGTAGGACCAGGTCGTCAGTTAGATTTCACTTGACTGCGAATAACAGCGGTTTTTCGGGCAGTAAAGGCGTTTCCTTCTCCAAAGAGCTGGACTCAGATTGCTATGGATAACTGCTAACACAAGAATCTGTTTTCTATTTTTCAGTTCACAAGACCGCAGATTCTTTTTGTTGATGTCGACATTGGACAGTTAGATTACTTCATGCACGGTCTGAAGCGGAAAACTAACAGAAAGAAATCCATTTTCCGGAAAAAAGCTCAGATTTACAAGGCAGTGAGCTCGACAGAAAACGAAACTTTACTCTTCCCAGAACACGTTGACACGGAGATCTGCAGAAGAATCGCTATCTGTTTAGCAGACCAAAGAACCGCACACTAAATTAAAGGAAAGCTTATCTGTAGTTAAAAAATAGAAACTCCTTCCTTGTTTTTAAATATTTATAAAGTTTTTCGAACTCGATCCTTAAAGTTAAATTGAACTGGAATGTTTGTCAAAGCGTTGTACAGCAATTTTGTCGATGTTGAAGGTTTTTACTTTCTCTAAGGTGTTTCTACGGTGTTTGTAAAGCAAGTCGGCGATTATTCGATATATTACCAGAGTTTTATATTTTTGAAAAAAAAAGAGGGATTATTTATTAAAAATGATTGTTGATATGATTTGATTATAAGAGATGTTAGATATTTGACCTCGTTTGTACATGGCAAATCCGAAAAAGACTTTATGTTTGCAACTGAAAGTTATAATTTATAGTTTGTCATTAAAAATGGTGTCAATCAAGTCGGCCAAAGATTACTTTATAAATAGTTCATTATGTACAGTGTAAATAAATTTTTTTTTTATCTTCGTTGACTTTTGTTGACGTGAGTGACAAAAAATGTGTGGTTAACTTTACGTGATGGAATATATTTTTGAATGGCGGCAGTTGTTGATGATGTTCTTCTAAATTTGGGTGGGAGAGTAGGACTTTAATAGACGGCCTTTTGTCTATGAGTCAAAGTTGCACAAAGCTTGAGATCTACTGCGTGGCTTATCAAATTATTTTACAGAGGCAAGGTGGCCGAGCGGTTAGAGCGCTGGAATTGTAATCTGAGGGTCCCGAGTGCAATTCTTAAATAGCCTACTGCTTTGCCTCCGGCTAGTTGGGATTCTTAACCCTGTGGGCCGCAATGAAAGGTTTTACCAGTAATTGTGTCATCCCTGTGAAGTCAGCTTTTGTTCACTCTATGAGCTTGGTCACAGTGTTTTCACTGTTTTAGCCTTAGCTAGCCTTGTGTTATAAGCCAGTAAGAGTTCACTCATGCTCGGGAAAATTCAGGTCACCGTACTTTTTAAAAACACACTTACTTGCAAGATAAGGTAGCAAACATTTAGCAGCGGCAGTATTTTTTGCCATTTTTTATGCTTCCCAGGAACGCTTGCGTTCAACTTTTATATTTTATCCGTGGGGCATTTAAGTTACCATCTGTTGGAGTAAAGTATCCAGTGGCACTTCTTCCTCTCTCATGCATTCAGACTCTCCTTTCAGTTGTTTGCCCTTACAACGGTACAAAGCCAGGGCAGCAATGCACTAACTAAATCCGTCATGCCGCAGGCATCGCCGGGTTCCCAGGCTTTAACTTCTCTTCGCTTCCCAGATTTTATCACTTGTCTTCCCCCTGAGATGATTATTTAATTATTTGATGATGATTTATTAAAATCAGCTCAGTTTTACACGACATAAAGGTTAAATTTACATAGGCATCTAAACACAGTACCGACTAAGGAATAGAGCGGTTTTCACTTGACTGTCGAAAGGGATTGGTTTTGGTTTTGGTTTTGGTTTTACTACGCCCTTTGGTTGGCTAGTGTATTTACTTTGGTTCTGGTTTTACGACAGTCAAGTGAAAACCGCTCTAAAAGAAAAATTGTAACAATAAAATAGAGGGCGAGTTGGGATCATCCAAATAGCAAAGGCTCAGTGATGTAGTGGATGGACCCCGTGACGTCGCTTTTATCCCATTAGTAAAGATGGCGGGTTTCGTGAATAATATGAACAAAAAGGTCTGAGTGTCTTGGTATTTTGGGCCTGTTTAATTTACACTGAGGTGAGGGACCCCAGGTAGGTGAGGTAACTCGCTTGGTGGGTAACCCGCCAGTCCATCTAATCGCTCACTTGTAACGCAAGCGAGATTGCAACACGTTTTTCGTTGTATTTAGGACACAACGGGGGAGTCATTGTGCCAGGCGTTCCTTGCGGAGACCGTGGAAAGAATAGCTAAGAATCGTTCCGTGATCGAAGCCACGCCTGTTTTGCGAAGAATGCTTAGGAAAGATTAAATTCAGAGCTTTTCCGAAACGTGTCGGTCCACGAATTCTATCGCTTAAAAGCGTTTTTTACTTTGGAACGAGTGAACAGTATAGCAAAACTGCGATGTTCGGTTGTTGTAAACTTTGATTGTATGCAAATGGCCTTGTGATGAGCATGCGGTTTATTTTTGGTGATGATTGAAATGACAGGCCATGTAAATCACTTTTTTGATATCTGGCAATGATGTAATTTCTCCGGAATCGAGGCCCTTGAATTTTCGTGTATTTATACACGCGTATAGCCAGCGACCGCAGACGTCTTTCCGGTCGTCGCTAAAACGTGTACTAAATCAATCATAGAAACAAATAGAAAGTATCGACGTCGATAAGTAGGAAGTAAAAAACCTTTAGCGGGTAAATCCTTAGCCTGTTCCAGGCTCCGAGATAGTGGTGAAAAGTCGTTCAGTAGAAAGAAATGAGAAAAACGCGCGGGAGCTGGGGAGAGACCCACGCCACCGCCCCCTTTCCCAAGTCGCGCGCGTCTTATTTTCGCTTTGCTCGTTTAATACGTCCCCACTAACGGCCTAACAAGTTATACCTTTTACGCTACAGGTGAAACACGCTCCATCACTTCACACATTACTTGTAACACTAAAAATGTTATCTACATGGTTCAATGTAACCGTTGTAATTTACAATATATAGGTGAAACTAAGCGGCGTCTCAAGGACAGATTTAACGAACACAGACGTGCAGTCGACAAAACTAACATTAAATCTAAACCCACTACTGTTTCTGAACACTTTCTCTCTCACTCTAACCATTCTCATACTGACATGCAGTTAATCCCACTAAAGAAAATTCATTCTTCACGTGACTCAGTTCGTAAGGCCAGGGAGTCGCATTTGATAGATAAGGCCATGACTCTTGAACCTCATGGCCTAAACCGCCGTGACGAATTATTGTAATCCATATCCTTAGAATTTTTCCTTTCCAGTTTTATGTTGTACGTCATTTCCGCCTCTCCCTTTTATTGCGACATTCTCCATCTATATAATATTGTGATTGCTACATGAGTTCAGTAACATCTGTAAACCTGAAGAAGGCTGGTATGGCCAGCCGAAATATTGTTATGAAAAACAATACACGTTGTTTTAAATCAGCTTTGCTGTAGTCTTCGGACTTCTCGTTCTTGTCCCCACTCAGAGAGCCTGGCACAGGCTAGTAAATCCTGTTTCGTGTAGAATTAATCGCCTCCTCATTTTTCGATCTAATCTCCAAACAAGCGAGAGTGGATGTCGCTGTAAGAGCGTTCTCGTTTTAATTTGATCAAGTTTACATAATAGGTGGGGTGACCCACCACATGTGACCTCACCTGTCTGGGGTCTCCCACCTCCATGTAAACGGGCTCTTGACTTAGATCTATTTTAGTAGTCGGTTGTCCTTAGAGAAGGCTAATAGTTTTGAAATTATCAAAACACACAAAAAGTATAGTCTAGGATTACTAAAAAAAATATTGTCAGGAGTGGGATTCGAACCCACGCCTCCATTCGGAGACCAGAACGCCCGCCCTCATTTCTTAATGGGAAGGTATAATAACCTTGAGTCTGGCGCCTTGGACCGCTCGGCCATCCTGACCCGTATGGTGTAGTGGCGCTGTCTTTAAAAATATTCGTAAACGGTTTAACCCCTCTTCAAGCCTTCCGTCCCAGAAAAGACAAGATTCTACATATAGTGAAAATGTATTGCCATGATAATACTCAAGACCCCGATTACATACCAGTTTAGGCTAAATAAGAGAGTGTCCAAGCATCTTAGGGTAGCACGTGGTTGATCTCCCATCGTTTTGGAACTGATATTTATTCAGTATATCAAAGTTCTCTTTATACCATAGTTGCCTTTGTTTCTATGATCAAGAAATTAACTGCAAAAGACGTAGACGAAGAGATACTCTCTATGATGCCCTACACGGGCTACCCTGTTCAGTCTTCAGGTCTTCATGAAAGGGTAGGGATTTCATTAGTTAAAGTATATAAAAGGGTCTTTAAAAGGGCTCAAAAAGGCTAACAGATGAATTTTATGGAAAACGTTCTATTTTTGTGATTGATTCCTACCGTGTGGCACGAAATTTCAAGTTAGCGGGTTCTAATTTTTGCGGTTTTTCCAGCGATCCGCAAAAAAAGTTCCAGCAAATAAAAATTACCGCAAACATATTTCCCGCAAACATTTACTGCATAGTAAATATACTCGAACTTTAATTAGCTACACAAACATAGAGCACTAAGAAATCGCGTCGGCTCAATTGCAATTTGCCTCTTTCATTCAGAAATCAAACGGTATACAATTAATTACTGGTTTTACATGGGGTACGCTTACCGTTATACTATGTGAAAATATGTATTTCTATTGCACGTACTTAACAAAAACGAAAATGTTATCAAAGCTGGGTACTGGGTACTTTCTAAAAACCGAAAAAAAATTAATTTCCAGTTAGAAGAACCAATCTGTCTTAATCGCAAAAATTAGTTGCCGCACAACACAAAAAATGACATCGTAACTTCAAAAGCAATGGAGTTGTGATCGGAGAAAGGTTCGCCAACTTGTAGATTTCTTATCAACCCCTCGTTTGTTGTTATCACTAGATCTAAGATGTTTTTTCCTCGAGTAGGCTCCAGCACTTGTTGTGACATAAGATGATCCAGTAGAATATCCAGTAGTCTGCAATTTAGGTCAGTATCACGGAAAACAGTAGACCAGTCGATGTCTGAAAGGTTAAAATCGCCGACCAATACAATCTCAGCAGAGTCGTTGAACTCGTCCACAGAAGTCGACCAGAGGCTCGATTGAATTATTTGGCGGCCGGTAAAAAACTCCAAATGTAAATGATTTGTTTTTCCCACAGAAAATATCAACCCACAAGAGTTACTCGCAGCACTTCACTTTCCGTTGGAAACCACTAGTTGGTTTTTATTCCAGAACAACACTTTAAGGCCCTCTTATCTTCAGAGCGTTTTATATAACCAGTCCCAGCCTCTTCTGTCTGCAAAAGCGAGAAGAGATCTGGGGTCGAGACACTCAGAAGCGTAACTTTTGGGCATGATCTCGCATCTCGGGCTACGATCACAGCGATCAGCGTTGTCGTTTCAACAAAACTAGAAACGGTAATGTGTCTTGTTGTGAAATGTTAAGCTACAAGGCAGCGGAGGGCTCTCAGCAAAATTCAACTCTAATTAGAGAAAGAGGTAAACAATTCGTTCAAAATGAAGTCAAGCCGTGTAAAGAGACGTAATTTTGGATTTAGGCTGTGGAACTGGTGCGGTCTCTGCTTATCTTGCCGAGCTTGTTGGACAAGAAGGTAAAGTTTTGGGAGTTGATCCTGACAAGGAGCGTTTAAAAGTGGCTCAAGAATCCTACAAGGGAATTAAAAATCTCTCATTTGTCGAAGGAAGCACTTCGAATTTTCCTGGTATGGATTCGGGAACTTATGATATCATTTATTCCTATGGAGTGCTTCACTGGGTTCAGAATAAAGAAGAGGCTTTCACGAACATGTTCAGAGGTCTCAAACCAGCGGGAAAAATCGCCGCGGTGTATGGCGAGCACTTGCCCACTTTCTTTGTCCGCGGTTTTCGCGAGCTCAATGCAGAAAATTGGGACCGTCTGCTTGATATGTTTAAGTTTGAGTCTATGGCAGAAATCGAGCGAATATGTGCAGCTGCTGGATTTAGCATTCTAAAAAGCTGCCATATTCAAAGTCCACTTCTCGAGTTTGAGAGTGCCGACGGCCTTCGTTCTTTTTTCTGGTCTGCTACACATGGCGTGTTTGATCGGCAGCTTGCCACGGATACAAGGCTGGCAAGATTCTACGATCTGTATTCGACTGAAGGTTGTGGAAAAATCAAGTGTCCTCCCGAAGAAAACGACTTGCTTTCAGTTTTGATTGCAGTTAAACCGGACAAAGCTTAGCGCAAGGGTAAAGCATTTTAGCTTTTTTAGTACACTTGTTGAACGTAGCAAATGAAATTTCCTTGGATAAAATTCAAGAAAGTTAAAAGATGTGTAAGCTTCACCTCAACGCATCGTCTAATTACAACAGACTGAGAATGTTGTTTTGGGAACAGACAGTTTATTCTAATATCATTATTCCTTACATACATAAACCACTAGATATACAATCAGGAGTCAGTCATATTGATACACCAACTACGGTCCATACAATTAATGATTAAGGATCAAAAGATTAACAATAGTTACAAACAGCCAAAACACCTGCGGAGTGGTTGGGAGGGAATCTTAAAATTCAAATGTAACGAGAAAAGCTTGAGATCGTGAAATTCTAACCCTTAGTCTCATGATAACAAAAGTTAAGCAATATACGTACATGTTAATGATAACAAAAATTAAGCAATATACGTACATGTTAATGATAACAAAAATTAAGCAATATAAGTATATGCTACCGTGGTGCATTATAATTGGTTCTCTGTGGTCTTGTGACTTTCATACAATTTATATGGCTCAAATCTGAAATAGGACGACTTCAGTACCGTTATTGGTGTCTAGATTCATATTACTGAAAACTAAAAACTAAGTTAATGCTCATTGGGTCGACACATAACTTAAATAAAAAATCTAAGAATTTACCTGCTGCTACATCCATTGACAATAATATTGTTTCGCGTGTAACCTCTAATAAATGTTTAGGAGTATTGTTAGATGAAAAACTTACTTTTGAGACTCACACTGAGTATATATGTAGAAAGGCGTGTGCTGGTATAGCAGGTCTAAGAAGAATTGAACCTTTTGTCCCGCTTTGCACCTTTGTAACCTTATACAATTCACTTGTACAACTTTACTTTGATTAATGTTCCCCCTTATGGGGTACTTGTGGAAAGCAACTGAAAGATAAATTGCAAAAAATTCAAAACCGTGCGGGTAGGGTCATTACCGGTTCTTCATATGACATTACATCGGTAGATGTGCTTGATAATTTGAAATGGAAAAACCTCCAAGCCAGGTGCTCACATATAAAGGCTACGCTAATGTACAAAATCTTCAATGATCAATCTGCCCCACATCTGAGAGCCTCCTTTACAAAACTCAACGATACCAACATCAATTATAATCTTAGGAATCTTGAAACTGACCTAGCACTTGCAAAGATAAAGACTAATTTCCTCAAGCGTAGCTTTAAGCACAGTCAGCACAGTGGTGCAATGCTCTGGAATAATCTTTCTTATCAGGCAAAAACAGCGCAATCGCTTTCCGAATTTAAAAGCAAATTTACGTCTTTGCCTTCTGCTGGATCGCTCTGATTCATTAATTTGTATGTGTGTAAAGTTTAAACTTTTAAAGTATTTCTCTTCAAAACTCCCACCAACATAATTATATTGTCACACTAATATTCGACTATATTGTATTACATTTTGTAATTAATTACTCTCTTAATATCATAGGTGACGAATTACTCTTTAATTTTGGCGCGAAATTTCAGCGTTAATTTGTAATTTCACACATGAAGTTACACATTTGCCATGGCAACCCTTCCGTACGTTTCGGTGTCAAGATAGCGATGAAGTTTTAAAATGTCGTTAATGAAGATGTCAGGGCACAAAAAGACGCTTTAGAAAACCTGAACACACAAGAGAACATCAAGAAGGATTCTAACAGGTATTTTGCCGAAAAAGTCTGAAAATTCTGAACTTTATAAGCCAAATTTAAGGTCTAAACATTTGAGAGAGTGGAGCTCTCGATCTATACGATCCAGGATAAAAATGTCAAAAATCCAAGATTGCTAACGTAATTCGTCACCCATGATATTAATAGGTAATCAGATGGTATACTCTTAAAATTTGGGAATAATTTCACGCGCGTTTTGTCCAAATCTTAATAATTTCCCTCGCCTAAAGGCTCCGGAAATTATAAGGATTTGGACAAAACGCGCGTGAAATTATTCCCTAATTTCACTCGTCACCATTTGATTACACATACTTATACTACTACATGAGAAATTTCTGCAATTTGATTGGCTTAGAGCAGTGGTATTTCAGCTTAATTTGAAATATCTACATGTGAAAATTACAAAACTTTTGTGGGTAGTAGTATAAACAAATAATAGCATGATTTGTACGTGAAATTTGGCATAAATACTCGTCACCATTTGAGTACACGTACTAATTTTGCAACTGTTGTGAACACCATACTGCTTTTATTCGTTTGTAATGCGTGTTTGCCTACGTCCCACCTGGAAATCAGCTTTTGTCGTGTGTGGTTAACGTAGTAAAATAAATGTGTTGATTGATTGATTAATGAGATTAATATTCACGATTAGTATAAACACACTCAGTGATCTTGGTGATTCAAGCAATCTGATTGGTTCGCTATCTCAGATTATGACGTTATATTCACCGCGCGAGGCGGTGAATATGAAACAAAACAAAATCGCTGTCATGAACTGGGTGTTTTGCCAAGTTTGAGAGTAAGAACTTTTTTAAGATACAAGAATATCCCAGAGTTGATGATTTTGAAGGTAAGAAAAGACTTCATGGTGTTTAAACAGCGTGATTTTATTGCAAAGTGATTTACAGTAGTTGACTTCATACGCTCGAAGCAATTTTTTTATTGACCTGTACAGAGGAAAACGAGGCCGCTGTCACTGTTTTGTGAACTTGGGATTTCCTCGCACGATCAACTTTGCCTGAAAGTAGACGTTAATTTATGGAGAAAAAAAGGAAAGCAAATATTTTCGAAAACTGTACGTGGCAGCGAGTTAACATGTACATGGCAAGGAGCACTGCGCTGTAGATAAACAACGCTCACCTCGATCGTAGCCACTGTTGACAGCATTTGCAAGAAGCGACCAAAAAAAACTGTTTCATTCACGGTGATTTGACAGAAGAAAATAAAGCTCTGTGTTTCTTCCCAGAAAGGGGAGTTATTTAAACTTTCAACGTTTTCTTTTCAATCAGCTTACAAAAAAATTAAAACTACGATTTGCCATGTTTGAAAATACTGTAAAGATCCAACTGTTGTGCATCTGCTCTTTACGGCTACATGTTCACGCATTAATTCACCCGCGAATCAAAATAGTCGTTTTTTTTCATAATTTCCTTTCTGATTCTGTTGAGATCACTTCGTGTGTATAAACTAAAACAATTATTCACTCAGGCTCTGAATATTGTTGAATAATCCCCTCGACTTCGTCTCGGGGATTATTCAACAATATTAACTTCGCCTTCGGCGAATAATTGTTAAACCGGACTGGTGGTCTGATCGAATCTCTCTTTTTTTCCCAGTCTTCTATCATCAGTAGTTTAAACGTAAGGATCGCAGGGAAAGGCACCGTAATTTCTTTACGAAATGAAATGATTTTGAAATTTTAGAGCTTAAAAGGCCACATTATGTCTCGACCTCAGTGTAGACATCTTAAATGAATACATTGTCAAATTAAGATGCAAAGGTCAGTTTGGGAAGTAAATGTTAATGGAACGCTTAGCGTGACAGAGGCTTGCAAGAAGATAATAAAGGTTTTATTATTAGCTATGCTTTTTTAGTCTATTTAAAATGGGTTGAAATCCGCGCATTTTTAGCGGAGCTCTCGCGCGCGCGCACCGGAGCACCATGGGTAAGAAAATTTGGTAAACTCGGTAAACTATCCATCCGAGAAAATTTGGTTATGACGTAGCGTACGCCCGCCCACCCACCCGTACACACACTTCATGTAAGCCGATGTCAAATGTCACAATAGATCTTGCACAACTTGATTAGCCTTTCAGTTATGTAAGCCATCCGTATGAGTACGATTAGATTGACAGCTGTCAAAATCAGACATCCGCTGACAATTATCACATGACCATCTCGCGGGCTCAGATGAAAGACCAGTCGTTTTGCCCCTACATATAAGCTGATATAATATGTCACACTTACCAATTCAACATAAAAACGAAACTACGCCGGGCAAGGCTGTCCGTTGGCTGGCAGTCGTTTAAAGTTATATTGGCAAGCCAAATTAAGTTCAATCGACAGCTGTCAAAATGGGACATGTGCAGACCACTATCAGAAAACTAATAACGTGGGCTCAGGTTCGCGTAGGTACACGATCTGGCATTTTCCACTACATGCCGGATGGATATGTCTTATTCACACTCGTAGTCTGTTAATTCGAATATTCGCCATTCTAGTGAAAGTTAATTGACAGCTTTCAAACTAGAGTATACGCTGACCATCATCACCGGAGTGTATCGCGGGCTCATTTTTCTATCCATTGAGGTCACGTAGTGTTTAAAGTTTTGCGCTGATAATTTATTTGATCACGGGCTCAATTCGAAGTCCCATAGCTTAGAAAATCAATCCATCATAGAAAATTCGGCAATCACGGGACTGTACACTGACCACCAGGGCTGATAGAGGTTGGGCAGTGAAACGAGCGCGTCCGAGAAAAAAGGTGTGATGCAGTGGACTGGGATTCTGTTTAGAAATGTCGTTTGTTTTCGACTCCGGTCCGAGGGCTAGCGATGTGGTTTGTCCATTAGATACTGTCGCTGTCACTGAATTATGGCGGCTTGATTTGTTTTCTTGCACTTCTTCCTCGTTCCTTTGTGCTGGTACGCTGTCTGTCTGTATGCGGGAGGTTTAGTTGGAGTAGACAAACATCTCTTTCAAAGGGTTTCTCTTATTACTTCCATGACTCCACCACTGAATTATATTTTCTTTCTACTACTCGCCAATGTCGATGTTATTCCAAAACAAAAACAACTAATTAAGTACTGTCTAAAAGACGAAGGAAAATCTCATCCATGTCATCCATCGCAAAACTAAAAGACAGCAGATCGTGTTTCATTGACGTGTATTTTACAAATACGTGC